GTTAAAATCTGTGTGCTGTCACACCTCCTTTTTTCAGAAGAGAAGCAAATCCCACTTATAGTCAGTTTCACTAGTGGTGCCCTGAATTTTCAAATACATCACAATGTAGATATAATGTGCAAAGGGACACAAAATTAATTTTCCTTTTGCTCATCATTTCCTTCCCTGAAAAAGGAAAGGATTTTTACAGAGACTATCACATCACACTATGTAATGAATCTGTTCTTAAAGGAGATTAACCTATGCTTACTCTCCAAACAGACTATAGAAAAAAAACTGCATATAACAGAAGAAAAAAAAAAAAAAAAAAAAAAAGCAGTTTTAAAAAGCATATAAAACTCCCTTCCTCCTCCATGCTTTTTCCACAAAGCCATTCAACATTCCCTAGTGCTCGTCAAAAGGAGCTTTACATCATCCCACTGCCTTAATGCACTGGCAGCCTCAGCTGTGGCTGCACAAGGTATAACAATGGCCAGGTGTCTGCCCTGCCTTCTGCTGGACTTTGTGTTGCTGCAGCTGGAACTGGGACTGTACCAGCAGCTCAGCTGCCGAAGTTCACACTCTGGTATCTCAGTTTCAGCTGCCAGGAAAGGTCACTTGGGGCAGTTGAAGATAAGGCAGATTAAAAGATCATTTAATTGTTTGGTCATTAAAGAGGCACAAGGTCCTTTCTCCCCAGCACAGAAAGGCCCAACAGAGCAGTTTCCTTGCTGCTAGCTTGAGCATAGCCTGGCCAGAGCCCCATCCTTTCTCCTCAGGCTACTATCACTGCTCTTCCCATCAGTGTATCCATTGTTTTTTGCAGTCCTTTTTCTCACTCTCTTGCTTCTTTCTCACCTTTTCTTTTAGGCTGTTCATTTTCCAGACAGCAAAGGTAGTTACACTGTCTCCTCCCACCTCTTGCCTTTTTCCAATCTCATAACTGTAGTGATGGAGAACTTCACGTGAGAAACCCAGCCATCCTCCATTCTTCTCATGAACCGTCATTCAGGTTAATTTCAGTGTTGGAAAAGGCAATTTTTATTAGCAGGGCTGGTTCACTGAAAGTGGATTAGGAAGTGCTCACATGTACCATTTCTTTGGCAGGTATGTAAGGGCTGTAAGTCCTACTCGGTGGGTGGTATCAAACAGCTGAAGGCTCCAACATCTGCTGATGGCATAACTAGGTCCAGAAGAAGAGGTTTATCTACACAGTTGGAAGCATGCAAATACCTTCACAGAAAGGCAGCAAGCAAATATATATATACTGTCTATTTAGTTGCTGTGCCAATTTCAGCAAGGCTTTACCCACACAGAATTTTATTGATACTCTCTTTTATACTCATTAGTCTGCTCTGGCAAGCCTAAATCCATTGAAAACCCATTAGTAAAGAAGAATTAGATGATTTTTTCCATGCAGAAGTCTTGTAGAAGGACTTGTAAAAACTGGACAGATGTGTTCATTGAGATTTTGAAAGTATTCTGTCCTGCTCCTTTCTTCCTTAATAGAGTAGCGTTCAGTATTGTCCTTTAAAGGAGCTTGACTCATAAAATATCATGAGGTTATTACCCTAAATCCCACTGAGGAAAGAAAATGCACCTTTTCCTTTCAGTTAGTCAGTTAGTCACACAAAGGATGTGATAGTTAAAGAACAAACAAATCCCCTGTCAGAACAAATGACAGTATCGACTGTGCTGAGCACATTTTACTCTGAAATTCTTTCATACACTGTTTGACACAGACAAGTTTCTGAACAATCCCTGGGTGTCCATTGCACAGAAAAAAGTCTATTTTCTTTATGGCTCAGTTTCTTTCTCTTCTGAAGGGCAACGGACGACCTTTGTGCGTCACAGCTCTGCTGGGCCAGGGTACAGTAGAGCTCATGTTACATTTTCAGTTAAGTTTCTTATACATTATGGTGGCTTTTTGAGTTGGTCTTCTTCACACATATCTAAAGAGAGAAATAGAAAAGTAGCATCATAACATATCACTCAAATTCTCAGGACTAGTAGCTGAGATCTTCCCTTAATTCTGTAATAGAGAATATTTATATGTACATTTTAGTTGAATTCAAATCAAAATTAGTTTCCTAAAGAAAAGACATCATTGCTTGCACTGGAAGAGCTGCAGGACATTCATGGGCTCTCCCAGAGGGGAACAGAGAAGAGGCTGTATTCATGCAAAATACAGTGTCTCAGTGGAAACAGGGAGTGGGGTGGCAAATGCTCTTTTTTACCACATGAAATTCTGGGTGGATTTAACAGCACACCAAAAAACTCTCTGAAAGTGTTATAAATCACTGCACAGACTGCCCAAGGAAAGAGTGAAGACACCATCCCTGGAGGCATTTAAGAGACATGTAGATATGGCACTTTGGTTTTGTGATGGACTTGGCAATGCTGGGTTAGTTGTTGGACTTGCTGACCTCAAGAGATCTTTTCCAACTTATGACTTTGTGAAAAGAAAGATCAGAACTGAGCATAGCAATGGAGCTGTGGGCATATCTAATGGACTGCTGTGGCCATTGCAACATACAAATAAAGAAACAGTGCATACTGCAGCCAGTCTGAGCTGCAGAGGGATTTCTGGTGAAGTTGCAGCAGACACCTCCTCTGCCTCTTTAGCAGTCATGGGCCAAGTGTAAGTCCCAGGGACACTGAAGAGAGGCATTGGCAGGGTGACAATCTCTTGCTGTGGAGGAGAAAAATGGTTCTGGTCTGTCCAATTAGACTGTCCAGGGACTGAGAGGAATTTTGCAGGTCCCTTCACAGCTCTGACAGTGATTTGTGGTGTGGTTTGGGGCAGTTTGTCTATGTAATCAGTGTATCACAGGTTGCACACACATTAAAACAAAAAGAATGCATATTAAGTGGGACTGTCTTCAATTTGTATCTACATTGCGTATTGTGAGTTAGAAGCATTAAATGTCATCTGCTGCTGTTGCTACTACATCAGTAGCAGAGTGCTTTGGGTTATGTTGGTTTTAGTTTTGTCAATAGCTGAGACTATTTTTGGTTTGGAATTTTTTTAGGCCTAATATATGCATTTATAGTTCTGCATTATTAATAGCCACTTACAATTTTCCATAGCTCTGAATATTTGCTTTCACAGGGAACTGCAACAGAAAAGGAATCTGGAATATATAGCTTGGTACAGCAGCACAATGATAGTGGTACTTCACACTGGTGGTAATACTTGCCACAGTAGGTTCTGCTGGTTTGTACAAGGCCAGCAGATGCTATCAGGGGCATGAGTGAGTTGCTCCAGTAACTGGACAAGAGGTTTATCAGTGTAGCCAAGGAAGTGGCCCTGGGGATCTTTTTGTATGTTAGGCTTACTGGTTGAGTGGGACACATTCAGTCACGGTGGTTGTACTCACAGGGAGTCAGTCAATTGGGGCTTTGTTGGCTTCTTGATAATGTCTCAACTAAACTGGGACAACAACAGCAGAAATTTGTATTTAATTCACCTATTCTTGAGGTTCTCCTTTATTTATTAAAATGTGGACAACAACCATTTACCTGCATCAGCTGCCTGTTGCACTTTCATTTGTCACATTTCTATTAATTCAGAATCAAATCACTGATATGGCTTCAGAGGCATACCTGAGCCAAGGACAATTACTGGCCATCATTATCACTACACATACATGCCAGTCATGGTTACTATGAAACCTCTGATTTATATTCAGTTATGCATTATTATGGCCAATGCATAAGATTCTACTCATGTACTTGAATTTGTATCACTATAAATAAACCATGAAAAATGCATGTATTTTATAAAAAAGCAGGCAGGCATTTATCCTCATTAGCAAAAGAGATTTTCAAAAAGCTGTTTTTTCCCTGCTAACATCATCATTTTAAATTTGTGCTCTGTGCCTAACTCTTGGAGAGAGCGTACCACATTTAAGTTTGGAAGCCTTGAAATCCAAGGCAATAGTGGAAATAATTTTCTGAAAATACCACCCATTCCACTTTGGTAAACCTGTTATTCAAAAGTACTGCTGTTGTTTTCTAGGAATAAGAAGTACAGCCAAAATAGTGTACTCCTATTCCTAGTGTACTGCTGTTTCTAGTAGAATGAGTCTGCTGATTTCCTGTGCAGTTACTCTTGAGATTCCAAAATGCAGAGACTTCCCTTATGCTTATTTTTTGTTCCATATTTATCATTTAAATCTGCAAAGTGAGAAACATTATTCAGTGCTCTCAACTGGACAAATGACTAAAGCTCTTGGCCTGACATGGCAAATATAGGTACCTCAGTGATTCTTCACTGAGGAGAAGTCAGTGATCTCCTGATAGCTGGCTTTCCATGCAGTGATGCTCTCTAAGCAGCAGATGTCATGTTTTTCTAAGACCTGTTGCTACAAAACTGAAAACTGTGCATGTCTCAGTATATTTTCTAATAAGACAAAAGACACTGACTACATAGAAGCGATCTATGAAGCAGATTTCTTTCCAGTTTAGGAATGTGTAGAGAGTTTGGTTACATGGCCAAATACAATGTCTGGTCACCCTGTTGTTCACCATAACAGCTTGGCCCAAAGAGTCAAATGATTACCAATAATTTCAATTCAAATCTCCCCTGACAGAAAATGTCCATACATTTTCACATACATTTTCATTTCTGACAAATATATATGACAATTAATTTCTATTAATTTATCAGCATATATACAAGCATATGCCAATATTACAATTCTGTCATTTTCTTCTGTCAAAGAGGTATTTGTTCGATTTCTAAATGACACTTCTTGTAACTGCCATTATTTATGGGTAAACAGAACTGTAGGCATCAAAAAGAGGACCTACGCCTCCAGAATCTAAACCAATTATTGCTCCATCTGGCTTTGGCAGGCAGTTCAGCATGGCTGTCAATTGCACATGGTTTGAGCTGTCCTCTCATAGAATTAATAGAAGAATTTTGAATAGTAATTTGTTTAAACTGTAGGAGTTGGTTGTTTTGTACTTAGTGCTGCTAACTGGTATTTGACTACACTGTCCTTCCTTTGTTCCAGATAATTGATAAGAGCAAGAGAGACCCCTCTGAAGAAATTGAGATACTCTTGCGATATGGACAGCATCCAAACATCATTACTCTTAAAGATGTGAGTAGTCTATGAGCACTTCAGCATTAAATGATTTTCACCTTCTAGTCAGGCTCACTTATTTGTTCATGTCTGGAAAATTCTTCAGTTGAAGGTCCAAGCTAAAACCTTACCCATGGAAATCAAGGAGAAAAACATGACTTAACCAATTACTGGATAGTGTTTGGAAAGACTGGTCAGGTTATGCATTCTCCAGTTCTAGCTAACAAACTGTAAATAAAACCAAGGGGGCACAGTGCTGAAGAATGAAAAATGGGTTTGGATTTGCAGCACTATTTAAAAGGAGATCTTCCTAGGTGGGTGTTTTGGGGCACTGCTGAATACACACAGCAGTGCTTCTGGGCTGGGGGATGATCTTTCTCAAGCAGCAGCCATTCCTGTGTAGCCTGTGCTATCTGCTTTGCTGGGAAGAGGAGAGCTCACAGAGTCACTAGGACTTCCCTCAATAGTGTTTTAATGCCAGGGACTATTTGCCTTCTACTCCAGCAGCATGAGAAGTCATTAAGGTATTTTTCATCAGCATTTCACATGAAAAAATAATCCTTCACTATGCTTAAATGAAGTAATGGCCTTTAGTCAGAGGTGCTTTACTTTAGCTGCCTGAAGTCTCACCTAAGATTGTCCACACCATGTCAAATTCAGAGTTTACAGAACAAAACTCTGCTTGTGTCAGTGGCCAGTACATTATGGTTTAGACCTTTAGAAAGTATATGAGAATCTCCTAATCACATGCCCTCAGAAAAGTCTCACCTAATTCCAAAGTGTTAAAGAGTATCTCAAAATCTGTGAAAAATTAGGTTTTTATATTCCTTTCCAAAAACATTTAGCATTGATGACTATAACACCACCTATTATTGCAGTCCAGATAAAGGATGATGACATGAAAATGGTTGTCCTCCAATTTAAATGATAAAATGTCTTTTACCAACTGCCATTGACATTGAATGTAAATATGTCTTGCAAGCGGATATCAACAATATATTCACCAGATCTGCAAATATAAACTATAAAATACCATTAGATGCAAGTGTTGGCCAACAGTATAATACAGCTCTTTAGCTGATCATTAGTCAAAGGGAAATATTGATATTTGAAATGGCAAATGTTACTCTGTGGAAGTGGAAAGAGAGAACGCTACTGAGAAGAATGCTTGGATGAGAGCCAGCAGACATTTGAAGCTGTGTGGAGTGGTGCTGTTTTTAACAGCTGAGCCTGCTGTGTTGACATGACAGAAAACCAGGAAAGCTACATTTCTTTGTGGACAAATCAGCGAACTGCTAAAGACATCAGAAAAAAGTAATGATTTAAGTAATTTTATAAAGTTTTCTTTTTAGTTGTTGAGCATAAGGAGCCCATTTCCCACACATTTGCTGATAGCTTCTTCTTGCAACTTCACACACAAGCAAGCCAACACTGTGGTTAAAGGACCAACCTTTACCAAGTAGATGGGTCCAAGATGTATTTATACAATACGTTTATACAATGAATGCATTTATTGTGTTACTGTTCCAGGTCTATGACGATGGGAAGTTCGTGTACCTGGTGATGGAGCTGATGCGGGGAGGCGAGCTGCTGGACCGCATCCTTCGGCAGAAGTGTTTCTCAGAGCGGGAAGCCAGCGCTGTGCTGTGCACCATCACCAGGACTGTGGACTACCTACATTCTCAGGGCGTAAGCCTTGCTTTTTTGGCTTAGCTGCATCAACCTTCCTAAAATTCAACTTCTTGAAATAGCAAAATAGTTGTGATTTTGCTTCTCTGAAGTGTTAATATGTTTCCTGCCCCCTAAAAAAAAAAGTATCTCCATATTTATAGTTACATTTGGTTTGTGAAATAGGATCATTGGCTTTTTATCTATTTTCCACTAAATTTACACATATCAAAATAGTGTTTTCTTTCCCACACTACAGTGATTTTCAAGTTCATGTACTTTCTTGAGGTATTAGTTGTTGACTTTTTATCACAATCATTATTGCAGGACCTGAACTTTTAGCAACACTTCAAATAGTGTAGCTGAATCAGCAGATAGGTAGAAAATCAAGTGCTAGGCTCTCCAAATGAAGTGACAGTTTGAACAGCTGATGGGAAAGACTTCTGATATGCTGTTAAAATCTGACTTTTAAAGTCTAAGCTCTTTATATACAATAGTTTGAAAGTCTCTTCTTTTCTGCATTTCAGGGACAAACAGTATGGATAACTAGTCAAATATTTACTGCTTTTCCTGCTTCATGATTAAAAGAAAGTGCATTTTATGCTTTGCCTTCTATGCTTTCATGGTAATTTTTAAGTCTTGCTAAAAAGGCTGTTTTTTTGCCACTGAAATTCAGCATGTCTAGTAAAACACACAGTCAAATGAAATTGTGTGAATACATTTTGAAATTAAGAAATAAATGAATCCTTCCTTTCAGGTGTGAGCCACTCACATGGACAACCACAAGAAGACCCTGGTACACTTTTCTCCCATGATGTAATTTATTCTTCACCTTTCAGCTGAGTATTCAAGGCCATCAAGCTCCAGGAGATTCTGCCACCAAGATGTTTGTACAACAGCCCACTTTAACCACTCTAAGAAATTGTCTCCTCTTAGAGGAGCAGCTCCATCTTAATACACTGGTAGAGGCTGTTAAACATTTTGTCTCTCATTGTAACAGACTTGAATATTTTCCCTTCATTTTTCCAAGGCTTTTAAGTAACTTTTTTCCAAAACTTAAATATTTTCAGCATGAGCTCTTGACCTACCTCAACCAGCAGACCAGAAACAGCAGCCAAGCCTCAATGCTCCCTGACCTCCTCTTCTCACTTGTTTCTCACTATTCTTTCTTAAGGTCGTGCACCGAGATCTCAAGCCAAGTAATATCCTCTACATGGATGAGTCAGGAAACCCAGACTCTATCAGGATCTGTGACTTTGGGTTTGCCAAGCAACTCAGAGCGGAGAACGGGCTGCTCATGACTCCCTGCTACACAGCCAACTTTGTCGCTCCTGAGGTAGGATCATATTTCAAAGCCTGCAGTAGTAGTAAGTGTGTCCTAAGAAGTAGTCCTTCCTCCCTTGCTGGCTTTACGAGAGGAGCAAGGCAGAAGCCAGGCTACTGGCACTTGCACAGCCTCTATTACCATAACTTTCCTATTCCTGTCCTGTCACAGCAGTTGTTTTTCTCCTGACAGAAGCTGGTGTCTGTGTTGGACTGGTGCACATAATGCTTTGGCTCATTACTGGGATAAATATAATTTTTTCTCTAGCTTGTTCTGATCAGACTGCTTTCCCTCTAGTGCACTGCATCAGAACAAGATGTAAATCTTGATGTTAGGTTGGTCAGAGACGTTGTGGAGTCTCCTCTGGAGATATCCAAAAGCCATCTGGACACAATTCTGAGTGCTCTAGTGGGCCGTGCTTGAGCAGGGACGTTGAACTATATGATCCTTCCAACCTTCCTGCTTCTGTGATAAAACTGAAAAGAAAAATCCTTGCACAAAATCCTTACTATGCTGAAATCAGTGAGAGCTTTATTGTTGACTTCACTGAGCTAAAGAAACAGGGAGAGGTGGCCCTGCATCACTGGCAAGTGCTGCTCCTTTCATGCAGCCCTGCGGGTGTGGGCTGGAGTCAGATGGCTGTTTCATGGCTTGGTCTCTTTGCTGTACTTGACCCATGAGATGTTCATGTCTGCTTCCTCACAATGAAGGAGCAAGAAGTTAATTTCTTGGGTAATAACCCATTTCTTGGAGGGATAAAAATGAAAAATTTTAGTACTTGCAATACACTGCTTCAAAAGTGTGTCTTCCTTTACCTGTTTTGGTCCTTATAAGAAAAACAAAGAACTGCTATCTTTCAATACTTCATCTGCTCTCTACTATCAAATACCAGTGTCTCTCAGTTCATATCATCTAGCAATCTATTTTTCTCCCTAATTTTCTCTTTCTCCCATGCACATCTGTGACTGGAAAGAAAAAAATAGGGTCATCTTTCTGTACAGGATCCTTTCATGATACCAAGTTACAGGAATCACAGCCTTCCATCATCCGAAGGAGAATTTGTTATATAGAGACTATTGCCAGAGCAGTATAAATTCAGAACAGATTTTCTTGAGAAAAAAAAAAAAAACAACCTTCCATTGCCAAGATAGATTGGTTTGGGGTTTTTATTGAGGTTTGGTTAGGCTTCCATTTTAGAAATGGGAATGAGCTGTTTAAAATTATCAAAGTAGATTGAAAAAGTTGTGCGGCACCACAGCTATTCAATTTCTAGACCACCAAAAAAATCATATTTGCAAGATTTGAAGCATTCAGATTTCTTCCAAGGTACAAGATGCTTAAAATAGGTGTAGCTATTTTTCATGATGTGCTCTTCTCTTTTCATTATCAGACTCTTCTGACTGGAACTGAAATCAGAAATCACACTCCCAGACATTCGTGATGAGTAAGACAGGTCCTGCTAATGCAGGAGACATTGGAGATTAATTGAAACATTACCAGAACTGGCAGAGAGCTTACATAAAGCCCTAAGTGCTTTTGCCTGTTACCTGTGATATAATGCTGCCCTCCAGCCTAGATGTGACTTTCACATTCCCTGAGTCCAACTGCAACGTCTGCCACACGCTCATGAAACTAATTAAGGAGGCAAAAAGTCAGCTGAGCTGGTGACAAAGAGGGCGGTGACCCAAGAAGGAGGACATGTTTACCACTTGGATCTCCTTTATTTTGGAAACAGTTAATTTGGAGTAATTTGGGGTTTAGGTGATATCAAGAGCAAAGATGAAGGCAATGTGAAAGAGGCACGCTGCCACCTAGTGCAAGTCATGCTGCATGCGAGGAGGAAGAGCCAGGCTGTTGTACTGCTGATGCAGTAGGGTACTTCTGGATAAAGTAAAAATATTTTCTTCTGCAGGTTTCCTACAGTATTTGTGAAGAACTGCTGCTTTGTGATTTGAAATTATGAGGGTTTTTATTTGCTTTTGAACCCATTTACGTCCTGGCATGTTAAAACTGAGAAAAACCTCTATTTGAAACACTGTTAACTCAGTAAGTCAAAACCTACAGAAATAAAAGGAGTTGGACAAATATCTGAGCCATTCTCAGAACTGGATGAAGCCAGGGTATCATTATCTCCAGGATACCATTATCCCTAAAATGTCCTGCTATGGTGTGGCACTAAGAACCAGTTTCTGCCTCTATTTCAGATCCCACTAAGTTCTGTAAGTGACCTAATTATTTTGGGGTTGTGTAACCACTTGCTTATTAACAGTCTCCACTAAGTATCATCACTGCCCCATTTTTTATGTCACTTACCTTGGACTTGATTGTTCTTGGTTACTGGAGGAAAACAGAAGAAGTGAAATTGTAACTGCTCAAAACGCAATGAGAACAACCACAGCAAAAGATAAATGTTGGGTATTCAGTCTCACAGGTGAAGCAAGAAGAAACTGAGTTTGTCAAATAGCAAAGAAGTTTTTCCCATTAAAACGAACATTAATAGAGAGGGAATGAATGCAGGAACTAAAGAAATATAAATAAATAAATCAGCCAGAAAGCCTACATCTTACGTGCAGAAGAGAGAGGCAGAAGCACGATTTTACCAGCTTTGTCAACAGGAGGAACTGCAGCCTTTTTTCTGGTTTTGTAGCTGTGGGAGTTTTTTGGCTTGTTGGGTTTTTTTCCAGGTAGCAAATGTTCACTCAGCAGCATACCTGGCAGATGGTTGCTTTGCCACTCATCATTTATAAAATCTGTCAAGGCAACATTTTCTTAAACTGCTTTTCCTAAGTGAATTTGGTCTTTTCTGTGGTAGACATCAAATACTTAAATCATTTCTGGGTAATAAGGCTGTAGGTCAGAGAAAGACTTGCTGAATTTGTACATTCCTTTTTCATGTGCTTTGCAAAATATATACCTACTGGTCCATCTAAAGAGGACAAAACTCCTTGTGTGTCAGAACTGAATAAACAGAGGGTAGTTTGCTTTTATGAGAAGATATGGAGGTGGTCCTTGAGCTTAGTTGGTGACTTCACTTTCACTTGGACCTGCACTGACTCAATAGGCATTTCTTCTAGTATGCACTAGCACAAATGAAATCTGGACTGTACCCTGAGTGCTCCACCTTGCCATCCTATATCAGTATTGAACCTACTGCTCAGATCTTTGCTGACTACTATGGGTCTTGTTTGCCCCATGGGAAAAGGGGGTCAAGTTTTAGCCTGCTGTTAACTCCAGTCTAAATGTGACCACTTTTCTTTATACAGAAGTAAGAGAAGCCTTTTGGCATTCATCTTCATTAGTCTGACATTAGATATGCTTCAGTGTGCATCAATTTGCTGTATCAAATCCAAACTGAGCTCAGTTGGAATCCTTATCACTGTCATTTAGCCCCATGATGCATCCACAGTGTTGTTGGTAACTTTTATGTTAGGAGGATATGTTCCAAATTATAAATGAGCGCTTTTTTTTTAATGAAGCATTTTAAAACAGTGAAATATTGTTGTGCTTTGCTACATGTTGGATGATCAGAGGAACTCCCAGACTCCCAGGCTCCAACAAACTGCACTCATCTTTCACTTGTGAAGGGGAAAGATGTGCTGAGTTTAACCAGCCCATTTCAGCCAAGGCTTTACCTTGCTCCATAGCACTACTGGACATTTTGATCCCAAGGCAGCCACCTGTTCAAGGCAGATACCCAGCTAAGCCCTGAGAATGTCAGCAGACACAACCACTAATCAGTGCTTTTTGTAGATCAGAAGCTAAAAATCCGTGAATGCAGATTAACCTGTTTTCATCTCTCTCTTTTTTTCCCACAGGTCCTTAAACGCCAAGGTTATGATGCAGCCTGTGACATTTGGAGCTTGGGGATCCTGCTGTACACCATGCTGGCAGGGTGAGTGATGAGGTTCTCCTAGAGCAGCAGTCTCCAGTAGGCTCAGTACTGATTAAACCTGAAAGGAGTCACATATAGGGATTCTGGCCTCCTTGAGAGGTGTGTTCAGTTGTACAGTGCAAGAAAATAGATGTCAAGACTTAAATTAGAATAAGTTTTTTTAGGATGCATAAATACCTTCCACACTTGACAAATTGTTTAGGTTTTTAACAGAAAGTACCTGTATGCACTGATACCTAGACTCCTGAAGGGTTCACTCATGACTTAAGCAGTGGGAAAGTTTTCCATTAGGAGAGGTGCATAGGAGTTTGAAGAGCCTCATCATGTTCACCTTATCCTTGGAAGAATGTTAATTCATTCTATTGATACATGTATTCTCTTCAGCTTCGTTATTCTTCATTTGTTATTGTTATTGAAATGTCTGAGTGCCTTTAAAAGCTAAAAAAAAAACCCACCCAAATATAGTTTTCAGATGCTGTTTTAAAAATAGGATTCAGAAAGTAAACTGAGAGATCAGCAAGAACAGCAACAGGCAGCAGAAACTTCTGAGAGGTACTTGGCAAAAATACCCCTAGCAATGTGTTGGCTAAAATGAAATATTAACACAAGATCCACAGAAAGACACAGATTTAAATAAGCAGTGAAGGATGGGAATAAACGTGCTGGGATGATGGGGAAACAAATTGTTTCCCTCTAGATGAGCAAACCTCATCTAGTGTCAGCAGGCTCTGAATTTCATTTCTCAGACTATGGTATGTGCACATTTATCACACCTAAGCAAAGATTGCAGCTTTTCAGTTACCTCTCTAAACTGTTTAATCTGTTTCATGATCATTCAGCTGTGACAAGAAGATTGGATTAATTCTTAGGTCTTATACAGAAAACAAAGATTTGGACTCTGACTTTCTGTTATTCTGGTATTTATGGATTGCAGAAAAGGTGCCAGGGGTCTCTATCTCATCAATTTTATTCTTGACTACACATGTGCTCAAGGTCAGCTGAAATCTACCAAGACTTTGTGGGGAAGTCTCCTATTCTGCTGGATCTCCAAGAACCTGTTTCTATTTGGCTGATGTCCATGTCTGCTACACAGCTGGAATCAGTAAAATAAAATTAACATATTACCCACAGTTACATTTGTTTGGTTAATTATACTCAAAATGCTTCTTTATTGAGTATGAAGAAAAAAAAAATCCAAATATATTTGAATCAGAAATACAAATAGCACAACTTACTGGATATTCAGTTTACTGACAGGTGCCAGTAACTTGTATCTTTCTTTTTCTGAAAACCAGAGAAAATATTAGTAACAAAATCAGTTGAGAAATGCTTTTTTAGGTGCCACCACTGCATTTATGAATGGTCTTGTTCTTCCTCACCAGAGGAAATTAGTAGGAACTGACAAGTATTTATATCCAGGACTTTTTTCTCCTCCTATAATCTCTGTGAGCAGAGAGGGCTCAGATAGGCAGGATTAGAACACCAGCCAGGGATCATATTAATGGAGCTAAACCTCAGAGTTTTTGCCAGTCCATAACTCTTACTGCATCCCTCCTGATAGCTATAGATTGGAATAATATTGTGTATCTCTTTGGGCTGAGCTGCTATGAAGACTGAAATGTTTTTGAAAATGAGAAAATACAGCATGAAGAATTGAATTTGCTACCAGAAACCAGATGGGATAGGAAGCTGTGGCCAAACCAACTGTTAAACAATGTAAAAATTGCTCTGGCAAGTTTGAAAAAAAAAAAAAGACAGATTGAAGGAAAAATATAAAAATCCAAAATACCTTCTTCTTCTAAACCTACACAGCTGTTCAAGATTGCAGAGTGAAATTTTACCTGGTAGATATTAGTCAGCCGCAAAAACCTTATCTCTTGTCACTTTCTGAAGACAGAAAGTGTACCTTCTGCATGACACTGATTTTGTCACAAGCTAGGTGCATGTTACAAGTCATTTCTGACTGGCTGGACAAGGAAATAACCTGTTGCAGGTTATTTATTTTGCCCAACTGACTTACACATTAGAGTTAACAAAGTATTGCAAAATAGATTAGAAATGGTTCTTTTTTCTTTTCCTTTTTTTTTTTTTTTTTGTTTCAGAGCATATTTTTTCTGCATTATAATTTTTGTCCTTTCTTGCTGTTACCAAGGTACTGGTATTGGCAATAAAGGTGTTGGCAATAAAGCAGAGTTAAAACAAGAGGTAAAAACCTGACTATTTTTATGAAGAGTATTTCATTTCTAAAAAAATTGTAACAGAACTAAAATTTAAAAAACAATTACAGAATCTGTCTTTTCCTCTACAGACCAATATAAGGAACCACCAGCCTGTGTAGTTTGAGTGAAAATGAAGCAGAAGTGTCAGTGGCACCTTCTGGAACTAAATTCCTGTTGTGATCATTGGCAATTAATGCTAGAACCTAGAAATCATGTACTTACAAATTACATTGGATTTTTCTCTCTCTCTCTCTGGTTTGGTTTTTTTTGTTTGTTTTTTTTTCCTTTTTGTTTTAAATAGATTCACTCCTTTTGCAAATGGTCCAGATGACACCCCAGAGGAGATTCTAGCCAGGATTGGCAGTGGCAAATATGCTCTTACAGGAGGAAACTGGGATTCAGTATCTGATACTGCAAAGGTCAGTGAACCCTTTCTCAGATTTTCTCTCAAGATTTAAATACCACAGAACTCTTTTTCGGTGCAACTGCACGTCTAAAAGAAGTGTATGTTTGTCAATGCCACACCTGTATTGTCTATGCATGAATCACCTTTTTGCTGCTTAGTTAACCAGGAGCAGGCAGTTTTGATTCCTTACAGTTCACAGTTTAGGCTGCCCATCTATCACACAGCAAGGAAAACCCCGGGAGAAAAAAATCATCTCGTTCTGAGACCTTTAGTGCATGAAGCTGTGCACTAGTCTGTGAGACAGGCAAATGGGCAGGAAAGTTGCAAGCTTCCACTTGCCCAGGATTAATCAGAAGTTTTGACAGGCTTTAAAGATTCTTGCAAGAGATTTCATTTTTAGCAACTGTTAGTATCCAATAGAAGAACATTTTCCACCACAAAACTCCAAGCAATCCCAATAGCACATTAATCTTGCTACCAGCACCTATGAGTCTCACAGTTGATCTTTTTATCAGCTGTCCAGTTTTGAAATTAAAATGTTTAGATGTTGTAGAACTAACCTAACTGAATTTTAGTTACCTGGGTGTTGAGTTTCTCTTCTAAGTTTCTCTTGTAAGTATGCTTTGAAGTCAGTGAAGAGATGCCTGAAGATGGCATTCTCTCCCTAGATGCTTATCACTCTGACAAGTTTACAAATAATTAACAGTTATTCAATAAAATGAATGCCCTCCACATTATGTTTTGACTGGATTATTAGCTGAGAGTTGAACATTACACTTGAAAATTTTGAAGATAATACCTGACACTTAAAGAACATAAAGCCTGTCTGAAGTGCATCACACTCTATTGGACATGCTAATGATGACACCACCAACAGGAAGACCTTAGTAAAACCTGCACAGCTATTAATTAACTTTCTCCCTTGCACTGCTTTCTTCCTTTTCAACCCAGGACATTGTGTCTAAGATGCTTCATGTAGACCCTCATCAGCGCCTCACAGCAGTCCAAGTCCTGAGACATCCATGGATAGTGAACAGGGAGTACCTGTCTCAAAACCAACTCAGCAGACAGGATGTTCACCTAGTTAAGGTACCTCCTGCACCCTTCCCTCATCCTTGCTTGCAGAATGAGCGGTAAATAGCTCATATTTGTGTAAATAGTCTGAAAAGTGATAAAGGAGTTGGGAAAATTACTTGCCACAGAAGCTAAATTTAATATGACACTGTATTTTTGACTGTCACCTGCTCAGTATTTTTAACTTTAGGCTGCATTGTAATAACCTGGTGGTTCATACTGCTCTTCACTATTTTGAATCTGAGACAACTCTGTCTGCCAGCCTAAATGGTATCATTTCATGGAAATTGTGCATATGTGACAATTTTTTAGGATACTGAATAGGGGAAGGGAAGCACATCAAAAAAATTAGTTTCTTTTCAAAGTTTTCTCTTTCTCTGTTTTACAGGGTGCAATGGCAGCCACTTACTTCGCTTTAAACCGTGCACCTCAGGCACCGAGGCTGGAGCCTGTATTGTCCTCCAACCTGGCTCAGCGGCGAGGCATGAAAAGACTTACCTCTACCAGATTGTAGCACTACCCCCAAAAGGCCTCCTTGCAAACCCACAGTTTATTATTTGAGAAATTCATCTTTACTTGGCTAGCAGAACATTTTTGGAGAACCTGCACATGAAATTGCCAGAACTAGCAGAAGCCCACGTAAGGCAAAGTTCTCATTTGCTACATCTTTTCTTTTACATTCCAGCCAGGGTCCTGAGTTTAACAACTTCACAAAAGATGTGCCAGTTTTGCCAGTAGCTCTGTTTCTTTACTGAGATAAAGCCAAATAAAATAGGCAAGCTCCATCCTTTCCACCCTAGGAAAACTATTTTTGAGTCTGTAAGATGTTCCATGGGAGCAGTTTTCATTTTGATTCTCAAGAAAAGCACTTTTTGCTATGAAGAGAACAGTCGGGTTAGAATGCTGTTCCAGCATGCATCATGATGAAGTGACTTGGCTGGTCACCAGTAGACATCTACTGATCTCCACTCACCCCAGGAAAAGTGAAGGCTGCAGAGACACATGACTAATACCTTATTTGAAACAAGTGCTATACAACATGAGGTAGAGAGAGCTGGTGGTGGTGGAAATACTTTCTGTTCTTGAGGAATCTTTTGCACTTTGCCCCTGCCTTCTCTGGAATGAAGCTAACACCTCTCAAGGAGAGTGTGCCACCAGCTCTGACTTGCTCAAAAGTCTCAGAAAGCAAAAAAACCTCTGAGAAGCTCAGTCTTCAGAGGAAAAGAATGGGTCTTATGAGACTGTGGGAAGGCTGTCTTGGCCAGCTAGCAGGTCTGGAGGATTAGGTGAGGGGGCTGGGGAAGCAAATAAAGGCAGGGAAAGGTGTGAGTGGCTGTGAGGACAGTAGGCAAAATAATCCAAAGGCAACTAGTGTACAAGTGGCTGGGGGCAGACTGTGGCTCCCTCTCAAAGCAGGGGGCAGTCCCCCTTCAGTGACTGGTGCAGAAGACAGTGGGTGCTGGGCTGCCCAGGGGCCAAGTGGGTCAATGTAGACATCCTCCCACACCATCACCTGGTCTGCTCGTTCTGGCAGGCCAGAGTGTCACGCTGGAGCAAGAGAGGTCATTTCCAGACACTGCTCCCTGCCTTCCCCTGGCTGATCACCCAAATCTGCCTCCATCACCCAACACGTCACGTCCCTGCCTGGGTGTTCTACCCTAGCAGAGCTAAACTCCCCATGCCACATGTGTGCAGACAGTACCCACTTCTGAAGAGTTCAGCCAACTCTGTTACAAGCTTTAATAATAATAAAATATGAGGAGAAATGGGAGGATGCTCTGCTTTTATATTTATATGAATATGTACATGTGTATTTATATACATATAAAACAAAAATTCTGTGCCCTAATAACTGGATTTTCCAGGTCCAGGGAAAGAAAACTTTTGTTGAAATGGTCTCTGCAAAATGGACTTTTTTTCTCATTCCCTGGTTTCAAAGAAGGCAAGCAAGGTTTGTGGTGCCAGATGTGAACTATTTTTTTATTCTTTTTCTTACCCATCTTGGCTTATTGGTGGTCACAAGCTGACCAAGATTCTTCTTTCTAATGCTTTTGTTGATTTTTATTTTCTGAGTGAATTTTGTCACCTCAGATGCTTCGTAGGAAAAGCTACTGTGCTCTGTTGGCTTTTTTCTGCTGTGACGGGAGAAAAAAAAAAGAAAAATGTGAACATGGAGCTTCATATGCTAGACATGGTAATTTTTTCTTGCTGGGTAGTTTGTGCATCTCGGTGCTGAACTGGAATTACCAGATCACTGCCTCAGATTGTCCAATGGGTTTCATTTCCTATAGTAATATTCTTCCTAAAACTATCTCTGCTTCAATGTTGACTGAAGTTTGTTTGTTTGCATTAGTCTATTTTTAAATTTAAATTTATTCCTAATAATTTATACTGATATTTAATGTTCAAGTTCATGTGCTGTGCACAGAGGATCGCTGCAAAGCAGCTCTCCTTGAAGCCCTTCTCTTTTCTAAAATAAACTATGCTGTGAAACTTCACACACAGGCTGAGTTGGCTGGGACTGATGAGTGCAAACGCACAGGTGGGTGTTTATGCTTGTGTACACAGCAGCCCACATTCTCTCCTCTGGCTAAGCTGTGCTCAGTGTCAGCTTTTTGCTGCCTTTAGAATCTTCTGCGTGTTAGAAGTTGAGTCTCACATGTTTCTGCTAACAGCACAGCACAAGGATATCCACTGGCAGGGATATCCTGGCTGGTGCAGAACTGTTCTGGTCCGGCCTTGTTTCCCTTGAAATGACTTCTGTCCTGGGAAAATACAAGGTGGGCATAAGGATGCAAAGGGCAACCTGGAGGGAGGGCTGGATTTTTTGGGGTCCCAGCTGATATGTGCTATTGCAACAAAATGTATTTTTAATGGTTGGAGTAATTGTATTGTATTGTATATGGGCAGAAAGACTTTTGAAAATGTTATGTACAGCTTTTGTCTCCCTCAGATTTCCTGGTTATCTTGCATTGCTTCACTTTGCTTTCTCTCACAACCACTGGAAAAAGTCTCATTCCCTCTAGATATATCCAGTCTTAATTCTTCGAGCATGTTTTTTTCAACTGAATATTACTGTAGGCCAACATACTTACAGGATGTTGTTCTTCCCAAAGTTTAAGGGTTTTAAAATCTTCCTGGCTTTCCTCTTTCTAACCCACCAGCTATTTACATAGGGACACATACGGACTCATACATCTTAATGCTTATTAATTACTTTATAAGCCTATAAATAATTATGAGCCCATACATATAATGGGCTTTGTTTATTAAAGTTTTGTTGACGCTGCATCCAGATGTGTGCACATATGTGTCTGTATGTAAACACATGCACAAAAAGCATTGTCCAAATGAAGGTAGAAGTGTAGTCAGAGGTGGAGGTGATACTCAGAGAGTTTTGTCTGCAGCGTTCTTTGAAATCTATCATTGATAATGGTAATGATTACTCTGGATGTAGAAAAAAAGGCTGTGCCCATCCATGGAAGAAACTTCCCCATCCAATCTCCCCTCTGCCCCAGATATGCATCCCCATGCACTTCCAAGGGCATATCAGTCTCCCCTCTGCAGTCCTGCCATGGGAGCTGCTTTTCTGTGGGTTTTCTGACCTGTTCCAGTGAAGTGAACCCAATAAAACCTTTTTCACTGTCAGTCTTGTGGATCCAGCTCATTTAGACTGAAATACAAGAGCCTCTATCAGCAAATCCAAGGGAGGAATATGCCATTGGCAGTCATTATTTCAGATTGATAGCACCCACTGGTTCCCCCGGCTCAGCTGGATCCCGGAGAGGATGCTAGGCTGTGTCTGTGGCCTAATTACTGCAATGGTTGCTTTTACACCAGCATCTCCTTTCTAGACTCCTGGTCATGGTATAGCTCAGCAATAAGCACTTTTTTTTTTTTTTTTTTTTCTGGTAGAAAACTGAAAAAGGCTTACCTTCTCTCCTTCTCTCTCTCTCTTTATATAACCTTAAGAGACTTTTACTAAATGTTATATTTAACTCCTGAAAGTCTAAAAGTCTCCTTTAATTAGAACATACAATCTTGCAAGTTTTTTAATCCATAAAATGACCTAGTGCCTTAGGCTATTACAAATATTGTAGTTACATTTTTAACCATCAAGCTGCACAATGCAATGAGTGTCCAAGGCATACCCAGTGTACCTGTCACAGACATACAGGCATCCCTCATCTGGCAGCCGTCACAGAATGGTTAGGGTTGGAAGGGACCTCTGGAGCCCATCTAGTCCAACCACCCTGCTAAAGAAGGTTCCCTTAGAGCAGGTTGCACAGGACCATATCTATGGAGGTTTTGTAGTTCAGTCCAGGAGAGAAGAGTCTGCCCAGCAAGGAGGAGGCATATCCCCACATTTTGCAGCGCTGGACCCCACCTCTGCAGCTCCAGGACTCTGAGGAAGCCAAATGGCCCTGGTGAAGAATATCATGGGAAGTGTTACTCAGTTCCTACACAGCACACTGCTTGTCTATAAGGCAGAGGTGTGGGAGATGCTGCTCAAAGGGAGAGCTGACCTCTGCCCCAGACCCTCATGAATTTTCACTTATTTAAAATCTGTTTAACTTTTTCTAAGCAAGCAAGATAGAATTTATAAAACCTAACTATTTCAGCAAATGACAAGTGACCCTCACAGACATGTTGCTACAAATCTCTACATTTGAAAAAGAAGTCTACCTGAGAATAGGTTTTGTTTCCTCAGAAAAAAAAATCTTCTTCAGTTCCCTGAGAGCCCAGGGTGCTGGGGGTAGCACAGAGAGCTGAGTGAAGCATGTCTTGTGTGACACAACATCATGACATCATATGGCACACTCATACAAGGTACAGATTGTGTGTTCCTCTACTTCATCTAACTCTGGATGTAATATTGGGCTCTCTTTTCAGCCAGACCCTTTCTGCTCTCCCCAACAACTTGTACCCAGCTCTGGTACCTCTGAATACATCCAAACTTCAGTCGAGTATGCAATTGCTGTGTGTCTGTGCTATGAATTATGACAGGGCTTAGCTTATCCCCTAAGCCATGGATGGCACAAAGGTAATATGCTGCTGCTCTTCTGAACTCACACCAGCAAATGCAAGTGCTGACACTAAAAATGGCAGGCAGTCACTTTCTCTTACTTCACCTGCTCATCTGCCATTTCACACCTCCTTTAGCCAGGTCACCACGGGGCAAAGCAAATGTTTGCGTGTCAGAACAAATGGCTAGGGACAGCGGGAAGGCAACAGAACCAGTGTAGCTGACACATTGGAATGGCTACAAGTTCAGTGTCACCTCTGTCCCTCTGTTGCTGCGTTGTGCTGAGCAGAGCCCAGGCATGGCTCAGAGTCAGGGCTATAAATTATGTGATTTTTGTCCAGCAGCAGGTTCCCAGTGCCAAGCCCTATGCACAGAGAGGGAGGACAAGTCCAGGCTTCTGAAAATTGGCCACAAGTTCATGCAAAATCCCTGTAACCAGAAGGTGTAGGGCCACAGATGGCATGTAATGGGGAAATAATGTTGACTGTATGTATTTTTGCCACTACCTTAATAAAAGTGATAGAAAAACCCCAGGGTTTGTTTTTAAATCATACATTTTTTTGCAGAGGAAATTCTTGATTTTGGGGCATGCTACAGCTTTGATCCCTAGAAGATCCCTAGAAGAAGTAAGGCAGTCAAACACAGAAGATACAGCAGATTACTATAGCAAACAATATATTGTAGCTTTCACTGGAAAATTATTTTCAGGCAGGTGTTTTGAAGCCCTCTCTTAGGATGTGTGTATCAGAAATGTCAAAGCAGATACTTATAAGCAAAATTCCCTTGTTGGACACCCAGAGATGACCCCTTTAAGCAAGAGCCATATGTGAGCTCCACACTCACATATGTGAATCCTAAAAGACAGGCAAGCAGCACAACCTTTCCGATATTACTTACATCAAAATAAAAAGGCCTAAAATAATGTTAATAAGATGCTTTAGTATAATACATTAAAAAAGACAAAAAGTAAAATGTGCAATCCCATTTTTCTTTTCCTCTTTGGAAATATGTCATTGTCCTTTAGAAGTGTATATTCTTCCCTCCTAACTGACCCTGATAATGAAAACTTGTGTTGTCTGAGAACACTGCAGATAAGCTTCTTCTGGTACCTCAAGTCCTGTCTGAACACAGTCCCACACTGCTCTCGCCATGTCTGTCCACAGAACACACATACAATTGTACACCCTCTCCTATTCTGAAAGTTAGCAAAAACATGAGAATTTAAACTCAGAAGATAAAATTAAGTTAAAAGTAAAGTTCTCAGTGTGCACAGAACTAAAACTCATAGTATTCAGATGAAGGATGGATTGAAGCCTGTGCAGAACAAAAATGTTACAGAGTAAATAGAGTAATTCTTAGAGCCAAATTTTATCTAAATTCTCTTCATAGATTTTTGTGAACCTAGACCTTGCATTTCCAAGTGCAACTAGGTGATAACACATATATGTCAGCCAGCATCTGATCATGAACATCATCATAAGGCTTGCACATGAAAGTATTTTTCAGCCTGAAGTTTTAAGCCTAAAATTAAGATTTTGGCCCTTTTTGTCATCCTGTGTTGTGTAAACCATGATGTTCAGTGTTGAACTATTCAACCACTACTTCTTGCATTGGTATACATAATTACAGAGTCAACTTGTGCTCCGTTATGTCTCCTAAATGGATGTTATGAACATATTTTTCAGAGATGCTTTTCCGTGAAAGGAAAATGAAAATGCATACTCTCTTTGATGAAGGCAAATTTTGAAAGGAGAGGCTATAAAATATGCATTTGAAGTGCAGAAAATGAAAAGCAGTTGCTAAAAGATTGTTTCTGATTTGCTACTCAGAGCCAAATCTTGCTGCCTTCATTTCTGTGTTAATTCCTTAATTCATATGCACCTTCAGTGACTGGTGGGAGAGCTCAAAGTTCTCTTTCCTTTTGGAGTAATGGAGTCTGGCCATTAGGTGATGATGTGTGTAAGGAATTTACTTGGGTAGTAATAAATTGACAAAATATGAACCATGATCTAGCACTTTGTTTACAGGCTCCATATTCATGTTTACAAAATGATCATTTCTGAGACTCATGCTTTTTATGTTTCTTGTATGAAAAGGGCAGCCAGTGTACAGATACTTGTTATGTTTACCAGCGTTTTTGAATAGATTTTTTTTATAGTACATGGTTTTATGAAGTGTAATATTTTTATAGCAGAATGATGATCTTTGGACTTTCTATATTGTTACTACAATTGTTTGCAAACAAGTTCTTTGTTCCTTTTTTTTTCTGTGCACTGTATCCCATGTTGCTGCTGCTAATGTTGCTGGCCTCAGCTGCTGCTGCCCCACCATGATGTGGGCTGATGGTATTGTGAAACTGTGCAAACTAACTTCAGAGAGCTGTGATTGTACTGAAGGGCTGGCTGCATGCTGGGTTCCTCCTGGCAGGAGGGGTGGGGAGCTGTACCATACCGAGGCAAGAGTTTACTGTGGATGGCCCCCAAGGAGAAGCCTCAGTGCTCGCCTTTGTCTGTATTCTGCCATTTTGGTTTGGCATGCCCATCCTTTCCTTTCTTTATAAAGAAATAAAAAGAAAAACATAAAAGGATCCTGCTTGTTTTTACATCATTCCTTTCCAGTCCCCAAGCGCTGGCCAGATTTGAATGCCATGTGTTGGTCACAGTAAAAGCCCACAGCTACCTGTTCAAATCATACCTGGAGCTGTTATTTCTGTGCAGCCTGAATACTCAGACCTCTGTTTTGGGAAGCAACAAGTCTTTAATGCCCATCATTCACACAGTTCATCCACTACACAAATTTAGGATTTCAGTGCCGGACAAATGAGTGCTTTCACCAAGCTGCTGCAGCATGAATTTCCCTTGCCCCCCTTGTGATCTTCCAAGGTACCATTCCTCTGGAAACTGCTGGTCTCTGGCAAGAAGCCTGCATAGCCTTTTCTGTTTGCTGGACTTACTAGTGACAACAAAAGCAAAATCAACCCCTCCTACTCTGTGGGATTGGTTCTGCTTCCCTGGCATTACATCTGAGCCTGCACACAGTTACACTGGCTTTCACATCTGGATTGTCATCAGACCTGGCAGCATCACAAAGGTGGCGAGTCTGGCTCAGGGTCCTTGCAGGAACAGCATGTGGTACCAGAGTTGGAGAAGCGGCATATGAGCTAGGTCCAAACAAGCATAACTGAGCAAACTTGGACTTCAAGAATGTTGTTCATAGGATTTCTGCTCTGACCATAGGCAGTCTCATTTCTCCTGCCAGCTGCTCCTGTCCTACTCCCACTTCTGTCCTTCCTTTTTTCTCTGTTCATGAAAGTTCCCGTTCCTTTTATCCTTCATCACTGAAATGTGCACGTCCCTTCCCATCCTCTTCCTCTGCATCTCGGCATCCACCATGAGCTATTCCACCTTTCTCATGGTGGAATAATAAATCTGGTACACCCATCTTTTATAGGCCCAGCAGTTAAAAAAGGAGGCTTCTCTGGAGAACCATAATCATATACAAGAACATCCAAATAGGAAAACTAAAGAGGAAAAAAAACCCAAAAAACCAAAACCAATCTAGGCTTTCTCTTTCATTCCCATTTCTAATTCCTCTTCTAATATGACCATGACCAAGAATGAGCCAAGTTCGTCCACTTAACTTTTCAGAGGACCTGGTTAGGAAGCCATGGGTCATGCCAGACCCTCAGCAGGCAGATGATAGTCTTTCCCTACTATGCTAGAAAATTAATAAATGAGATATCTGAGAAGAAGGCTTTCCAGAATATACTCAAGTGCCTAATCAAGACACAGCCCTTTTAGGAAATTTGTATTGGCAGCCATCTTAAATCTCTGCACATAATGAGAAAGTAACCATGTTTTTTTCCCCCTGAGGTACCCACTTGTTGAAAATGGAAAATAAAAAACCAAAACAGTAGCCAACAACTCCCCTCCCACTTATAATTTTGCTCTTTAGTCAACATTCATTTCTTTCTTATATCTTTCCCCTCCTTTATCCCATCCCAGTTCACTTCACCCCCTTTTTATGTCCCACAACAATGTACCATGGGAATTGTCCGGAGGCTCAGAAAATCCTGGGAAATGCCTACATAGCATCATCTTCAAGGGCAGCACAACTGCTGGCTGAGCACCTCAGGCAATACAGCAGGGCAAACAAGAGGCAGTAACAATAAGAACTAATGTCTGAAGATCACAAGCAAAGATTTTGCATAAAAAGCAGTGACAAAGAGCTGAAGACAAGGATTTTAGGCTATGTCCAACTTTTCAGGTTACTCATAGATGACTTCAGTGCATTGTCTGCTAGAGGTGCCATACTCCAGCTGTCTGGAGACAAGACAAAAAAAAAGATTACCTGTCCATTCATCTAGATGGGCAGGAACTTTTTGGTTTTTTTCCTAAACAACCAATGCTGGCCTGAGATCAACTCCATTTTTTGTTGAGGAAATTAGTTTATTAAGAGGCTGGTGATTCACCATCTGTGGTAAGCCTGTGCATTGTTTTGGCTTGGCACACTCCTGCCTAATTGAGTCTTCCGGTCCTTCAGGGTCTGTGGTCACTGGTAAAAACAACTGCAGCTGTAAAGCCTAACTTTTTCCCTACTGTAGAATTTTGCAGCTTCAATTTTAATGCTAGTCTCCTTGCTAAGGCATGCAAAGGAAGACTAGTGATTTCCAGTGCATTTACCCAGACTTCTAATTGTCACGTTGTTGTCTGGGCTTTTGTCTCTGTTGTAAATTCTGTTATAATCAGTTATTTACTCATCCAATTATTTATTTCACCTGTTGATACTAAAATAAATTTACCCTGTAGGAGCATCAGGAGACAAAGAGAACAGAAACAACCTGCATTTCACTTTAGAGAAGTGACAAGGGTGACCCATCAGATTTAAGAAACTCTTGGCAATGCTGATCTTTTGCTATCTGGTCTCGTTTCAACCACCAGCCAGCTGCCATCCAAGGAGATTAGGAAGTATATGTTAAAGGTGATAAAATGTCATGCAAATCCCACCATTCAGGCCTCAAGTATAATTTTTTAAATGGCACCAACTAATATAACTTTAATATATGTAAATGGTCCAGGGTTCAGATGCAGGAAAAAAACCAAAACAAAATGCCTGCCATGGAGATTATATTAAAGACCCTGATCGGTCAGCTTAGCTTGGATATGGCTGAGAGGTGACTTGATTATCGTCTACAAGAATCTTCACAGGGAGAAAAATCAATGTTCCAGAAGCAGAGAGAGACACACCAGAGCACAAAAGCAGGCAAATTTCTGGGTGCAAAATTCATGCAGCTGTAGAATGGAAATAAGACAACTGTAGTTTCAAAAGTGAAGCTGTTACTCACTGGAATGAAACATAAAAGGAGAAAAGGGGTTTGTCATTCCCTTTGTATCATGTTTAGTAATGTCCCTTAGCAGACAGAAGGTTAGTGCATAAGCAAGTGGATGAGTTCAATAGTCTGCAGTAATCTGGAAATCAATTCTAAATGCTTGGTCTCTTTGGGCCTCAAATATGACATGCTTTCATATCACCCTACCACAAGCAGCTGGCACTGAATGAGAAGATTAAGACTGATGGATGAACTCCAAAGATTAATTCAAAGACTTTTAAGCCACAAATAACTGGAACAATCAACTTTCTCTGTTTAAATCTGTATCATTACTATGGTACATGTGGAGAATATTTGCTGTCTTTTGACAATATAGAATATCACTCTGAAATTTTTTTTTATGTTTATGACTACCTACAGTGTTAATTTAGAACAACCTGTTCCCCACAGTTGGTGCAATATGGTTAAAACCTCTAACAAGACCAGGCAAAACAGTGTTCCCTAAACATAGAAAAAACTCACTGCCTTAAAATCCAAATAAGTTATTATAGTATAATAATACTATTAATAGTGCATTAATAGTTCACTAATCCTACGAACCACAGGAAAGCCTTATAGAAATAGATGTCAAACATGAGTGAAACTTTTGCAAAAAAAGAAATAAGACTTTAATATCAAATGAGATCTTCAATTATAATTCAGCTTTTAAAAGAGAGTGAAAATTAGATCACAAATCTTGAATTTTTACATTACCAAGGCCTGGAGCTGAGTGAAAACATGTGAACTGACTGGCTTTATAACAGCTTCTGAAAATCTATGAGATGTACACTAAGAGAGAGATAGAGTGCAAAATTCTGATCGAAGGAAGGAAGGAAGGAAAGAAGGAAGGAAGGCAGGAAGGGTTATCAAATAACAAGAATAAAAGCTTTTCCTAATAATGCATAGTGACTGTTAAAGAAGGTGCTTCTCCAGGGAAAACACTACCCCCCTCCTCTCCTCAGCTTCAAGATGGTCAATATTAGCAATTCTCAGGAGAAATATTTTTGCTAACCTCAACACTGAGGATTACATCTAGTAATCCTCAAAAAGAGACTTTTTCCAGCTCTGTGACAACCACTGCTGTAGCAGCCTCCTTGAGGAATGATGTGGCAGAAATTTGTGCAGAGCAGCCACTCAGTATGGAAGTGCCGCATAGCAACCCCCATCAGGGCACCCTCCTGCAAAGTGACAGTCCCTCTTTTAGTCCAAAGAGCATTAAATAAGCCTACACTGCTGGAAGCTTGCATCATGCTCCCAGGAGGTTGTTGTGTGGCTCTGACCAACCCAGCCTAAGGAAGGAGCTGATGGGGTTCCCTACCCTGATCTTAGCAAGTACTGGGATCACAGGGTTTCCATGTGATGCAGAGATGATGCTCTCACTGCCTCCTCCTGAGCTTTCAGATAAAAGAAAGAACTGCTTTCAGCAGGTTATAAAAATTTACTTCTGCACAACCTTCAAGAGGGACAATCTGAGCAAGAAAGCAGCACCAAAATCACAGAGGGGAGGGGGGGGTCACTGTAAGGGCATTGATCTATTCCACATATCTTCTTGGTTTGGTTTTACTGAACTTCCTGCTATGTGTGAAAGGTTTGGCTTCAACTCTGCAAGGGGTAACACTCCCTCTGTGGGCAGGGCAGACACTACTGTCCAGCCCAGGTGACAAGGATAAGTAGCTTTTAGCTAGAGTATTTAATTTATACAGCACTTGGTGTGAAAAACAAGGTATCTGTTGTAAAAAACAAGACAGCTTTTGTGAACTGAAGCTGTAGACTCACCGGCTAACATTAATGTTTATTGGAAAGATCAATACCCATATAAGGGTGAATTCAGATGTCTGCAGGACACAGCATTTAAAATGTTTCTAATATAAAAAGATCCTCTCTAAATAATTTGGAGGTTGTCTATAATCACCAAATTTAATTAGGTATGTGCACATTTGGCACATGACTAAAAGGCATCCATTCTTCTATAAGTATACACACTTGAATATTTACCTTTTTTTTTTTTTTTCCTGTTAGGCCTTGTGCAAACCTAAATGACTCTGTGTTGAGTCCTGAATTACTTTTTAGAAGTCCACTATGACCTATTGCTTATTTCACTTTGATCCCAGTAGCTTTGGAAAGGACTTTGGCATGTTTACCTTCAAGTTACTCATCATGTATGCCCATGGTTTGTTTATACATTGCCTACTGAAATTTCCCTCTTTTTTTTCTTTTTT